GGATGACTTGTACGACACGGACACCACATCAGAAGGGGGTATGTTTGTACGTCTTTACGGACCCATCGGACCCACCGGATGAACGGATGACTTTCTACGAAATAACAAACGTGAAGAGATTTTGACATAGTCCGGAAAGCGGGATGTGAGCCGGATCCTGCTTCTCGAAAGTTTGGGGTGTGTACCTTCCTAAAATATTGTAACTACGCACGAACGCAGCGCTAACGCCCCAACAACAAATTTATTCGCTACCACATACAAACCGATAACAGAAGGCAAGCTACTCGTCGATGATAACCCCAAATTCTGAACAGCGTTCCAACAAAATCGTGTCTCATTCGAATCATCGTTCAAGGAGTTAAACACGAGGTGCCGACGCCTCCACCCGTATGCGCGAACCTCAGATCAGTCAACTTACATGGCATACTGCATTGCACTTTACGGCTGCATAGGGGAAATAATTTTGAAAAAAAGAAAAGAAAACTGGCATTCTACTTTTTTTTGTTCCCTGTAGGAGTTCCCAAATCTCCTGGATTTCAATCCCCGTCCTAATAAACATACCTTAAAACGATTGACAAATGACGTCACGAAACTTACTTCAAGATTCCCTTCTAGTATCTATCTATTGAGACCAGCTAAGAGCATACAGACAGGTGCATTGAGAGCGAATTAGAACAAAGAGAATCAGTTCAGGATAAAAAGACTGATTATTTGAAGAGAACGTCATGCAATCGAAATGATGCACATGTTGTCATACATTGGTCAAATTCATGTTTTACATGGAACTGATACAAGTTCTTATTATGACCCAAGCGTGTCTAGTTGGCTCGATATTGAGATTAAGGGTTGGACAAATGTGGTTAGTGTGAAGAGCACGATACTACCAGTATCTATGACCCGTCTATACTGCCATGTCCATGCGTTTTAGTGATCGGACAAAGATTTCAAGTCCTATCACGAACCAATATAAACACCTTCGAATCCCTGACTTCTTCTTAACTTTCCTTTAGCCTGTTCTATTACCAACCCCCGGCCTTTTACTTATCTTCAAAAATTCAGGGATTGTACTTAATGGAGTTTTTTTATATAACCCCATATTTGGATATTCTTTAGTCGTTTCTACTCGAAGCTGCCACTGTTAAGATAGGATGTGTGCAGGCAAAATGAATACACCAATTATAGGCGTCTTAAAATGAGTGAATTGCTGGCGTTTAAGAGTTAGAATAACCCCTGATGGGAAGAGCACTCTATGTTCTCTATCATGACAGATAGTTGTAATAACAGTAGGACATAATCCTCCCTAAGAATACACGAGTATGCTTGGGCAGTGCAGGGGGTTTTGGGAGCTCTCAGCGTAGAACAGGGATGAGTCCTCAACACTGAGGGTTGGGGGTATATGTACGAGCCCCATACATAACCTACACTTGTAATAATTATACTCCTTCCTCTGGTCCATTTTGAAATAGTATCTCCGCAGGACTTTAGCTCGATTGAGACAATTATAAGCCCAGAAATACACCCAGATAAATCTCGATGATTATTTTCCTGTAAAAGTCCTGGAGGAAATGTTCCCGCATTCGCTACTTAGGAAGCTTTATCCTGGACCGGTGACTATTTAAGAACACGAAGTTGCGCACGTTACTATATTAATATCAATGTGCCTTACAACCTTCCTGAATTGCTCAAACTATCCACCCAGCCTAATTCCAACATGAGACTCTCACAATTTACTCCCCTCGTTTTCCTGTTGTCATTTGCAGTGGCACAAGACCCCAATAACCCCCACAACATGACCACTTGCCTGGTGAGAGACTCTAATACATTAAGACTCACCGGAAAAGGCTTGCTTACCAAATACATTATAATTAGCAAATGTGCAATGAGCAGGCCGCTGCCGCTGCAGGATGTACCTCCTATCTCCAGACCGAATGCACTTGTCCGAGTGTCCCATTCCTGAAGGCCCTCAACAAGTGTCTGGGAGCTTCCTGCTCAGCTTCTGATGTGCTATGTATGACTCAATATTCTTTATGTGCCATTTCTGAAGATCATTCTTTGAGCTGAAATCCTGACTAACTATTAAAAGTGTCCCTAAAGTTACATGTCAAGGAGTGCGGAGGGCCAATTGTGTGGCCCGAATAATGGAGCTGTATATCTGCTCTTGACAGAGACTAAGTGACGAAGGCATATGTCAGGCAGCGGAATATCCGTAAAGATTAGTACTAATGGGCCACTTGATTATACAGAAATGCATGAAGATGTATCGAATCATTGAGAGGTCTCTTGTTAATGGTATCCTACTCCCCCGTACTCTCGAGATTTCCCTGGTTACAGTATATCGCATAAAGAGGAATGGACGGATGTTTAATGACTCTGTCTCTAGGGGCCCTAGTAGTAATATCCTGGGTCCTCAGCAGATTACCAGGACTAATTCGCAATGATCGGAGGATAGGCCAACAAAGTGACCTCATCTTCGAAAGATACGACCGTAATAGCCATTTCCATTCCTCTGTAATGGATTTTCCTGCAAATGACATAAAGATAGATCATGTATTTTTATTTTTTATTTTTTACTATCCTGATATTGAGGAGCAGTGCTGGGAGGTCGTGCAATGTTGTGGGAGTCGGTCAATGGGCACCATTCGTCTTTGGCATCGCACGTATCTCCTATGAGTTGCTAAAGTTCGGTCACAGAGCACTTCGAGACCATCGTAGTTAGTGACAGGATGAGAAATCGATGTACTGGCTAGTACTGAACATGTCCAATAGAATCAGATGACTGATTGATTGAAGGTTGTTGAGATCGGTTGAGCGGTCTCAGGGGTCTATCTAGCTATGGCGTATTATGGCACCATAATTCCGAATCTCATACTAGGGTGCATTGGGTGAACGATGAATAAGCCTATCCCGAAGGGTCGAACTGAGGGTGGTCAAATACCACTAGAACAGTTAGCTCCCACGATCCCATGTGTAAGTGCTGTTCAATATAGCTGGCGGTGGAACGGAACTTCTCCAGGGTGTGACCCAGTCTGTCTGTCTAATACCTGACTACTAGCATCGCCTGTGCCGCGTTCGGAAGTTGTGTTTCCTATAACGTATGAGAACGTTTGCTTGCGGTGCCGGTGTCTGAGTGGCAATATCGAAATTTCCGACGCCAAGGATGGATGGAAACTGGCTAGCTTGTGAGCATCTGATTGGCCGGAACTCAGCCGGCCACTTAATGATGTTGGAAGACAAATGACGGCTCGCCTGGTTGGCCTCTGCCGATAGAACCACCGTCCTCGCCCCATCCCAGTCTTGATGTATTCTACTTAGGTCTTTACAAAGCGCATGCCTGATAGCTAGTTGGTCGGGCGACAAACTGAATCATATGTCCATACAGTGTCTAAATAGTCGAAAAACACAACATATACTGGTTGACATGATACGATTGGCTTATTAGTAGAATCACGGCCGTCGGGGTGGAGGATTGTTTGTATTTCATCAGGAGAAGAGTCCGATTCAAGGTAATTCCTTGTGAAGCGAGTACGGTGCCATGCCCAGGGAGGCACGGAAGCGGTATTCCAAGGGTTATATCTCCCCGAAAGATCACGAAGGATGATCTTCCAGTCCTTTTCGTGAGGTGCATCTTCAAACAATGGTTAGATAAGGTTGGCAAATTGCTCCAAGATATTATATCGATGCCACCTGCTGGCAATGCGTGGTATTGTGTGCGAGGTGAATAGTCGCGGAGTCGCCAAGGGATTCGGATGAGAATCGTGTTTCGCAAGGTCATAAATGTTGCGAGCTATATATTTCAAGCATCGTTCCTAGTATCTTCGGTGGAGTTTCTTGGGGCCCTTAGGTGGCTAATTCGGTACATCATGTTTCTTGGAGACAAGTCTTGGGATGATCGCGTAGGGAGACTGTTATCACCGCCTTAATTGCCGGCCTGGCAGGCGGAGATGAACCGGCAAAGGGGATTCACGGAAAAAGATTGCACCTTGAGTGCTTACGTGGTTCTTTTTGAGATTCGTGATATTCTAAAATTTGCTGTCAGAAGAGTCAAAACGGCACTTAAAGATGCAGAATACGTCCATGCTCTCCTGCCTGCTGAGTTAAAACTGGCATTATTTGCAGGGCCTCTAGAACATGATGTTTTATGCAAACCAACACCTTCACAATAGCATGTTAGAGAGAAATTGATGATAGTGGAAGCAGGAAAATTAAACATCTCAATAACATGATATCAAAGTGGGTTGGTGGACAAGTGCACATACCGATTTATCCATACGATATTGGGTGTCAGATATTCATCACCGAAATGATCAATTATCATCGTTGATAACAAGCTTTTCTGGTGACACAGTATATGATAAAGTTTTTGCCACTGTTGGCACCGTTTGAGCGGTCGTGGGAGTGCCGCAGAAAAGCTTCGATCACGCGTTTCAACATTCACCACCAACCTTTAGCTAGGTACCATTCCTCTGCGAGGAAATCTGGCTAAATTTTGCATAGGTAGCAGTTGATCTTTGAATGTTGGGACAGAGCTGTTGATCAACATGAAAAGGATGCGGCCGCATTGGAAAACACCCAATATGGTTCATCACCGAGGAAAATCTGGTGTAGCCATGGGCAGCAGCACGAAATTGACCGTGCAGTATGCAGCAGGTCAAAATTTGAGGGTCAATTTCCTTGGCTTTTCCCTCAGTCACCGATGATTGCTGTAACTGTGCAAGTTATGAGGCAGTTCACGGTTCTATAGATAAACCAAAACTATCGTCACCAAGAGAGCTGTTATCGTGACATCATTTCATCAGACCTGGACCGAAAAAAAGACCAGCCCTTGTCATCCTTACCGACTCTTTCTGCGAACACGATTGAAAGCACAATATCATAATCAACTACTGATTTCTTCTAGAGACGACGCAATCTATATATAAATACGTCAAACTTGCTGTTAGCCTCTGCCAACATACTTTGTTTCCGGTATGGAATGAAGCTGGACTCATCTTTGTAATTGAATGCAAAAAGACGCTCCAGCTCACCTTGACTTGATTGCGAAGAGTGCTCCTAGTAGGTATGTTAACTCATGCCCACCTACTCCATATCATGCTAACGGAAAAAGATGCCCTGGATAGAAGTTCTACATCCACTGTCCCTCAAAGTTCAGGCGAAGAGCTTCATCTCTCTTTCTCGCTATCCCTAGATTTGATTCTCATGGCTCAACTTTTGAGCGAGAACAAAGAAATCAGACGGCTTGTCTCTATCGAAGATCTCATTGGTAAGTGATCTAGCACCAAGAAATTCGTGATGCTAATCTAATTGCGTCGTTAGATTTCTCGGAAAGATTTCTTATTATCCTCTGGTCTCCTCTAGCGAAGAACAGTCCCAAAAAGTCGACGGGGTTTCGGGTTTATCTGAAAAATATCCTTCGAAGATCTCATACAACATATCATACACTCATCGCGGCGTTCTACTATCTAGCTCTCTTGCGGTTCACGATTAGGCAAAAATTCCCCATTGAGCCGTTTGAAGTGCCCAAGGAGCTTCAGCCTCTACAGTGTCAGCGGCGGATGTTCCTCGCAGCTCTCATGCTGGGTTGGAAGTTCACTCAGGATTATGGGCACTCGACGCGACGCTGGGCATCCTTCTCTTGTCTAAGAGAAAAGGAGCTCAACAAAAACGAAGGATTGTTTCTTTCAGTGATCGATTGGCGCCTCTTTATATCGCACGCAATGTTCTCTCACTGGAAGTCAGAGGTACTGTACTATGTTCAAAATCCAGATGTTGCTTTAGCCGAGTTCACCTCTTTCCAGTGAGAAAGCAGTATATTTACTATAACTATGTGGATAGAAACCAAGAATATCGGCGTATGGTACTTTCTTTTATCAAAAGTGATATATTTGGAGCTTAAAACAGATATTATCTTTCCGTAAAACCCTGCCTTCTTTCTACTGCAAGTTTTCTTCCACTTACCACTATTCTGTGTCCTAAGTAGACCTCGGCGTGGTCCGACTCCGGTTCGAAGAATTGGAACCTGGAACCGGACCTGAGGTTTCCAGGTTCCAAAAATCTGGAACCTGAACCGGACCTAGAAATCTTAGGTCCGGTCCGGTTTGCACCTGTAGGAACCTGAATTGCATAATTCTGCCAAGACACTTCCTATTTCAGATGGATAATTTGCTGATTCATCTTAGTTTTGTACTGTTATTTATAGAGGTTTTGGTCCTCATCCTTGCGAATAGGCTCTTTTAGCTAAGTTTAACTACTTCCTTCATGAAATCAAACAAAATCGGGCGGTATATAAGTTCAAGGTACGCGAGAGATTAGTTTTAACGTATTTTTAACCTAGATCCTGCTCATTGTGAGTTAGATGATATGTTCTATTCGGGATTGTTGCGGAGAGCCCCTCCCCCTTGCGTCGGGTCCACGATATTCCGTGCTTATAATCGCACACAGATATTGCTCTTATATCCTCTCCTTCGAAAGGAACATTGCCGTTTCGAAGGAGAGTTGGGCTCTCTTCGCAGCGGTTTCTTCCCGCCCACCGCGGAACCCCTCATGTATGTACTAAGTATGCTTCCGCATAGCTTTACTTCCTCCTGAAATATACGGAGTGCTACGGGCCCGCCTGCAGCCCTCGCGGCGCTGTAGTCTTCTGTCAAGGAGACCTACATCACCATGTTCGGACTGCAGGTGCCCCGTACGGGCCAAAAACATCTCACGCGTCTTCATTGTAGCAATGGTTGGAATAGAAGGTAACTTTCTACAGATGAAGTGGTGTATGGAGTAGGATATATATTTTCCCATGACCGCCACCCTTTAATCCCTATATCTTAGATCGACCCCTTCAATGTATCCGATTATACTCGATTGTAAGGCCGAAAATAAATGGAACTGAGAGGGCTTACTCTCATTTTCATATTAATCACCCTTATTATAAGGGATATGAATAAAATATGTGGTTTTATTAGGAATTTATACTTAATAGCTACAGGGACTAGGCAAATATTCGATGTTTTCTGCTAATTGTGTAGCTTACCGCCCCTTCTCTATGTGTAAAGAAAATATTTCTGCTGTAGAAATTTCGTGGGGGACGGCCAAACCCCCCAAAACCCCCCCTTAGTAGTAGTTTTCAGGTTCCGTCAGGTTCCTCTGCAGGTTCGAACCTGACGGAACCGGACGATATACGGCTACATAGCCAATAGATACGCGTAAGTAGTCATAGAGCTAGTCCATTTTTAAATAGATGCATCCACGCTCCGTCGCGGTCGCGCCGAGAGTAATATCCTACTATCCTACGCTAGATTATTATAAGTCTCTTCTCTAAGTATACTACTATCCTCTTCCCTACTCCTACTACTACTGCCTTCTAATACTTATTCTGCTACTTATAATGTCTCAGAGCCAACATTCCCTGGTCTACGACCACTACAGCTCTTCTATCTTCGGGGATAACCCTTCTGATAACCTCAATTTCCTCTCAGCTGATACTCTATATACCGATACCTCTACTTCAGCACTAGACCCTAGTCCTACGCAGCTACTAGCCGTGTTATCTCCCCCAGATAACCTCCAGCGAGTCGGGCCCCTAAGAAAGCAGAATTACGTCCTTTGGACAGAGATGGCAAACGACGAGTTCGTTGCATGGTGGTTACAGACGGAGTTTGGCAGCCGTATCAAGCGCAATATCTTTGAGGGCAGGCGCCAGGCAGAGTGCTGGAAGCACTTCCACCAGGTTGCTGCTATCAAAGATGGAGCTCCAAAGGTTCTATGCAAATCATGCGACCATGCCCTACATCATCCCGGGGACGGTCATCGTGGAACATCTACTATGAATAAACACTACTCATCGAGTGTTAACTGCCGAAAGATGATATCACAGTCAAATGATATTCGAAAGCTAATTAGACAAGGGGTAAGTATTCCTTCTATCTCTTTCTTCTCTCTTATATTCTTACTAAGATCATTTACAATAGGCCCATCTTGCACCACCGAAAGCCATCCTAACAAACGAGGACTGGCAAGAGAGGGTGCTTACCTTCATAACTAGCTTACAGCTACCGTTTCAAATTGTTGAGCACCCTCAATTCCGTGCCCTTATCGAAGCAAGCCGTCTTACTCCATCAATACCAGAAATCCCTTCATCAAAGACCATCCGCCAACGATTATGACTAATCGTCGCGGAACGACAGCGGAATCTTCTCCAAACACTCCCTGACGGCGCGAAGATATCTATTGCATTAGATTGCTGGACGTCTCCATTCCGTCAGGCCTTTATGGCGGTCACTGGCTATTTCATTGATCGAGACTGGAACTACCGCGAGATTCTCCTTGGGTTTGAACCAGTCTATGGGTCACATTCTGGTATAAATCTTGGCGCAGTTCTCTTTCCACTACTACAGAAGCATGAGATTGAGGACCGTGTGTTAACTATTACCACTGACAACGCGTCTAATAACTCAACGCTAGTCGAGAGTCTAAAGGGATCTATCCAGGAGCTAGAGCTACCAGGTAATATACCTATTATCCGTATACCATGTATCGCACATGTGATTCAGCTTAGTCTGAAGGAGCTCCTTGGTCAAATGGAAGCGAATCCGAAAAATGAGAGGGAAGAAACAGATTTCACTGGAGGAACTGGTTCTTCTTATCAGACGAACCGTAAGATTATTTACACCTTAAATAAGGTGAATATCTCTCCCTTATCCCACTCATTATCCTTACTAACTATTTACTCTACTAGATTCGAAAGCTTGCCGTCCACATCAACAAGAGCCCCCAGCGCCGGGAGCATTTCTTAGAGCTTCAGGCTAAAGAGCCAAAACTTGTGCCGATGCAAGATGTGAAGACCCGGTGGAATTCAACCTTTATGATGCTCAGGCGAGCGAAGCGGCTACAGTCAACGTTTGATGAGTTCTGCCAGGTATATAACCAGATAGATCTTCGGCTAAGCGAAGAGGAATGGCGTCAAGTTGACTATCTCCTATCGATTACACAACCTTTTTGGGTCTTTACCAATGAGGTATCAAAGAGTAGGGATATTACTATCCATACGGTCTTTGGTATCTATAACGCCCTCTTTGCCCATCTGGAAAAGTCAAAGAGACAGCTAGTGCGAAAGAAGGTTCTATGGAAGACTGTCATGCTTAGTGCACTGGAATATGCTAGGAAGAAGCTTTCGCAATACTATCGTGCAACTGATGAGGTTGGCGACGACCTCTATGCAATTGCAACTATCATGGCGCCGCAGAATAAGCTCGAATTCTTCCAAAAGCCAGAGTGGGAGTCAACATGGGCCCCTCGCTACAAGAAGAGTCTTGAGAAGTATCTTGTTCCGTATGAGAAGCGATATTCGCAGTCTCAGCCAAGGGATTACGATATTCCTCCGGATACCCAGATCACTAATCTTGAGTTAATGGTTTCTGCTGCCAAAACCAGCCAATCTTCGACGGGTGCCGATGATGAGCTCCGGCGTTATCTAGGTAATAGTAAGTATTCATTCCATCTCTCACTTCTCATCGTTTCGTCTCATTTATTATATACTAATACTTCTGATAGGTACTCGTCTTATTAACCCACACATCTTCTGGAAGGATCACCAACATGAACTTCCTATCCTCGCAAGCCTCACACGCAACGTTCTTTCCACACCCACTTCTGGTTCGGGCGTTGAGCGCTTATTTAATTCTGCTCGCGACGTCTGTCACTACCATCGAGGGTCTTTGAAATCAAAGACTATTCAGGATTTGATGATGATGATGTGTACAACCCGGTTTGATATGAAATCAGACGAGTTATCTTTTATTAACGAATACCTGACTGCCCAAGAGCTATATGCAAGGAAGGAAGAAGTAGATACTCAGAAAAAGAAGGAGGTCTTTGACCTAATTAGTGATAATAAAGAGGAAGAGGACCAAGTTGATTATGATGAGGATGATGATGATAACAAGGATGATGAGGATAATGAGATTGCTACTAGTCTCTCGTTAAAGCTGACCCAGCTAGCTAGTGAGAGCGCACTTGGTAAGAGACAAAGGGTTGAATCATCGGTAATGATCCCTTCTTATAACCGGTCACTACCTATTCAATTGGATGACGAGGATGAGGAAGGTGAGATCCCGCTTCCAGAGAATAATACTACTCAGAGACGTACATCTAGAAGGGTCCCAAAACGTCCACGAAAAGATGAAGAAATATTTGTGTATTCTAAACCTTAAGATATGTGAATTAACATTCTAAGTCCTCTTATTTAACACTCACTGTAGACCAGTTATTACTATTAGTCTATATTCTATCAATTTTATTCCTACTTAATGTAAGATGAATACTCAAAAATACAGAGCAAAACTGCATAATTAATACATATCACGAGGTTCCCCGATTTTGCACTGTTTGAGGAACCTGCAGGTTCGAACCGGACCTACAGGTCCGGTTCTAAAGAAGTTGGAACCGGATCGCGACCTCAAAGAGTTGGAACCGGAACCGGTCTTGGCGGTTCTAAACCTGGACCGGACCTAGAAAGTCGCGACTCGATCCGAGGTCTAGGGATGCTGGATGATAGGAAACACACGTGACGGCCATGTCGGGGGTTCCTGGGAGCTTTGCGGTCCCTCTCAAAGCTGCGGCCCTCAAAAAAAGGTAGTTGAAAAACCGGCCCATCATCTCTCGATCAAACAGTATCAACCACAAACTGCAATCTAGTTATTGCCAGACTAAGTGCTTGGGATCGCTAGGAAGTAATAGCATCTTCTGGTGGGGTTAAACCGTTCATCTAGAATATTTTGGCTGCTTACTGTATGGTGGGCTGCCTGGATCTGACTATCCTGGATCAGGTCAATTTGTTACCAGGAACAGTACCAGTCTCACCCTATATGGAAACATTATCGACAGACTATCATTCGGGAAGCAGTCTGGTTAGGGTGAATTTCCTGGCCGAGTATTTCAGTCACATGATGATGAGGCTGAGGACTTTCCCCCTCTTTCAGCCCATCGGACCCAATAAGCATTCTGTCAGTATGAGGAATCGATGTACTGGCTAGTACTGAGTATGTCCAATAGAATCAGGTGTTTGATTGATCGGTTGATTGAAGGTCTGAAGATCGATTAAACGATCTCAGGGGTCTATATCTAGCTATGGCGTGTTATGGCACCGCAATTGCGAATCCTATATTACTAAGTGCATTAGGTGAACGATGAATAAGCCTCTCCCAAAGGGTACTAGTGGTATTTGACCACTCCTTCAGTTCGTCACATTCTTATCATGATCCATACACAAGGCACTTTATTTCATCATGGTCTCAATATCATTTGGAGACAACAATCGTGGAGCTCAGATTTTAAAGAACGACGGCCATATAGAGTTCCATCTACCACCGGGTAAGTCAGGAACCGGACACAATCAAAAGTTTCCTTAATGGCCACTGCCCACCCCAGAGCGACCGGAAACCCCGCCTAGCCCTCTATCAACCGTACCATTCACGCTTGACCGCCACTTTATCAGTCGTGACCTACTGCTCCGTCAAATACGTGAGAAAAGCTTCGTCCCTGGGTCGAGAATAGCCCTGATTAGACTCGGCGGTGTCAGGTAATTGTGAAGCGACCACTCCGTGGCCGATTACTCACAAGTCGAAGAAAATCATATCTTTCCATCGAATACTCGTATCAAATCCGATCTGAATCACCAGCAAGGTGGGTTTTTTGGGTCCACGCAAGCAATAATGCCCGGTTCGAGCAAAGTTTCCGGGACATCGCAGACCAAATTAAAATCCCAGGCTGTCAGGATCCCAAAGCCAATATATTTAAACTAGTCGAAAAGTGGCTGCAGGATGAAGAGAAAAGGAACTAGATTTGTGTCCTTGATAATGCGGATGACTATGAGTTTCTCTGTTCGCCCCAGATGGTCGGAAATGGAGCTCTCAGGAGAGAGCCGAAAAATATCTTGATGAAACCGCTATTAGATTACATCCCTAGAAGCCAGAATGGATCTCTTATCATTAAAAGCCGGGGCAGAGATGTTGCGCTAAAGATGGTCAAGCATCAAGACGTTGTTAAAGTTAAACCGATGGAAAGGTCTGAGGCACTAGAGCTTCTTCAGAAGACGCTCGACCAACCTGAGGCAAGCGAAGGGAGTCAAGGTAGTGGAAGCGCTCGATTATATGCCTCTTACAATAGTCCAAGCGACTAGCTATATCAGAACTCGAGCACCTCGCTGTTCGGTATCACAATACCTCCGAGACTTCCAAGCAAGTGACCGCAAAGCGATCAAGCTTCTTGGGGAGGAGGCGGATTGCCTAGATCGGGATTGGGAAGCCAAAAGCTCAATCATAGTAACCTGGCAAATATCCTACAATTACATTCGCTACAAAAAAAGCATCTGCCGCCGAACAACTTTCTCTTATGAGTTTTTTTGATCAGCAAAAAATACCAGAGAACCTTATTCGGCTTGACCCTGAGACCAGCTGTACCTCTACTTTCAAACTCCACAACCGCTCCTGTGATGAGGAATCGTCCGAATCTGATAGTGATCCCAATTTCGAAGATGATATCAAAACGCTAAGAAGCTTTTCATTTATATCTACCAGCGAGACCGTGGATATAATGCGAGCCTTTGCGGGATAAAAAAAACCGGTGGCATGTCACACGCCGCATACACCCCGCCCTGATCTCATAGACGATGGGAATTTCATGCTGGGGCACCCGGCCACGTAGGTTCATCTGGCAGTTATGCTCCGACTTGATATGCTTCCGTATACTCTCAGGACTGCGGCATACATAATCACAACCCTCGACAACCGTACACAGCAAGCAATCGGTGTATAATACCAAGCTAGGGATAGGTTACTTAACGGAGTGAGGGAAAATCAGCTCCTGTGACTCCTGTACAAAGCCCTGCCATGTGGATACGGTATACCGGATATCCTGTGCCTGAGTAACAGGAAGACGATGGTTGATATGCCGCAAATGGGTTATGATCTTGGTCGGCTGGATTGCATGTTGACACTTACGACAAACAATGACTCCATAATCAGGGAGTTGAAGAAATAGCTAGTATAGGATAGGCTAACGATAGACGGTATCAGGTATTCCATCAAGAACATAATTGCTAAGGATCTCAATAGCTGACAATCGTGTCGGACTTCGATAGTCAGAAACAGTAAAAGGTTCCGTACGCCCAAGAAAATCACAATGTTGTGGAGTTCGATGATAGACACAGTTGGCACAGGCACCTCGACAGTGTGAGGGGAGCCGAATAGTAGCAACGAAAGGAGAATTGGGATATCTTTGGCTCCGGCAGACCTCCCCGTACACACTCCGACCACGAGAGGCGATCAAAAGACTATCCGTACGATAATCAAGCCCCTGAACAAACTAGAATCAAATTAGCCCGGTCCAACATCAAAAAGATAACAACCACCAACTTCGGCCATGCTGAACAGATAGGAGGTATCAATTGTATGGTTGAAACCCATAGTATTCAACCATAACTCATACGATTCCTCTCGCCAGTACGTACGTTGGCAGGGATAATGGCAGAGCCCACGAAGGGCCTGATTACCAACTGCAGTCAACTGGACACGGACCTGACGTCGGTGGTCATGGGTGACCTGCTCGGCGGTGATGTGAAAAAGCTGAGATTCACCGGGCTGAACATAGGCAGGTTCGTACGGCAGAGCAGGCAAAATTCTTTCGTGGAGGATCGAAGATGACATAGTGGGCGAAATATCAATCGAACGGACCAGAAAAAGAAGAGAATCAAATAATCAAGAAAGGGAAAAGGAGGGGAAATAGAAAGAACAAAGAAACGAAATCAAGCGGTAAAATGATGGGGGCGGAAAAGCAAACATTCCGAACGGACGAAAAAAGACTAGGGGCGGCAGATAGATCAAATTGGCTTGAAGTCCAAGGAATAAAGTGGGTAAGTGGGGATCCAGATTGACATTCGTACAATAGATTTCTTATTTGATAATCTAACCTAAGATCTGAGAATAAATCTGTGATCTGATACTCAGGGGGCTCGATATGGTAGTTCATCGATACTGTAGGTGCAGTCCTCGGATGCGAAAATTTGCTGCTGTTTTCAATTTCCATCTCACTGCCAGACGGACCATTGGCTTCAACATCTAAAGTGCGCATCCAGGAAACCTCTGAGCTCTTACCGAGGTAACCTGTTGCTCGGCTGTCTTTGCTCCGGTTGACGTCTTCATCGAGGACATCGAGGGCATCCAGAGAGCCAACGGAGGATGGAGAGGAGGCATTTAAGGACATGCTTCCATCTTCCTGAGATGCTGATCTCTGCAGTGAAGATTGCTATTCAACCAGTCAGCGTAATCGGAGTACACGAAGTAACTTGAACAAACCAATGCTCTCTCGATTCTTTTCGCCAGAGGTAGCTCAACTTCGTGAGATGCTTCTCGAAGTAGCCTCTCATAACGATCGGTTTTCTCCTTTGCCAACTCCAATTCGTTTCGTTCTCGATCTCTCTTTGACTTAGAATAAACACATACTGCCAGCTTTGCACTAGCACACTGGCCACATGTCGGCATATAGCCATCGCATTTCCTCTTCTGTGACCGACACTCATCGCAAGCACGAGAGACGCGGCCTGGTTTACGATGTGCATGTCGATCCGGCAAGCGAGGGATGGGCAAACGATTGAGCATAACGTAAATCCAAAGACTGGGGGGGGGGCCTACTACAAAGGGCACAAGTTAAAATGGACAAGCCGTTATCTATTCAACTATAGCGTTAATTAGGAAGAGTTTTCGTTCTGACCGCGTAGACTCCAGCTGTGGCTTCTTACCGCTTCTTTCTGTTGTTCGAAATCTTTTTGGGGCACCTGTGACGTCAGCACTCGCCACTCTTCCGCTTCTAATGAGTGCGGGGGAGGGGTGAGAGGGGAAATACAGTTTATCTCTCCGGATAGATATATATTCCGCGGTTCCACTTTGCCACTTAGCAATTTCGACTGGCTTTAGTACCAGACGTACCATGATGGGTGTACTGTAGTAGGAGCTAGGTCCCATGTGCATGTCAGGCAAAGTTAGGGATATTTTCGAAAAATAGAGTAGCGGGGTAAGCCAAAATTTGAGACAAGGCTGCGTTGACTACAGTATGTAACTAAGCTCGAACATTACTCTACTGACCCAATGACCTACGTGGCAAATAATCTAAAAAGCCAATAATCTGAGAATAAACGGTAATATCTACAGTACGCTCAAAGTTAATGTGCAAAATAATGCCTCTCGCCTCGCAGAAATATGAGAAGTATCACGAATCTCAGGGTAGGACAAAGAAATCATAGCCATTAAATCAATTGGGCACCGCCGAGAGATGATTCAGCGGTCTGGTCAAGTGGTCCGTTTGATTTCTTCGCAGTGGCCCATTGTTTTATGTCACGTAGGAATCCAGCAGTCCCAATTCGAATCCCGCGCTGAACGAAGAAGTCAGAGTCTGGATCCTCGAGAATCAGTTCAAGATCTAGATAATTCTCCAAGATCACCTGGCAAATGTTGCGGAAATCAGCTTTGTACGCCTCCTCAATTGCAAGTGACTCCAGCCATTTGCAGTATTCTCTCACAGCTGTTTCAAGAGGCCCGGCAATCATTAGCCGCTCCCCAGATAAGGGCCTGGGTAGAGATGAAGTAATCGTGGGCGCACCACCGTTTCGTGCTGGAAGAACATTGACAATTATGGTACCCCCGTTGTTGACGCATCAATTTTTTTTTCGATTTTCTTCCTGTCTGACTTTCCAGGATTAGGTCTTGACGAATATCACCAGGAATATCGTCATGACCGTCTAGGATGTCACCCTCATCGACATAGTCGATAAGCGGTTCTAGGTGCGGGGTCCTGAGTTTGTAATGCTTATTGTCTTTCGGGTCCTCCCAGCACCAGTCAGACTTATGCGCACACGAGCGGATATTACATCGCATGAGCTCGTATACGCGTTCCTTCCTCCACCACAATGTACGCCTCACGTTCAGCTAAAATTCTGCTAGTTGCAGACACACGTCCTCTCTTTTCGGATCTTCTTGGCAGAGGCACGGAATTGCCATCATCATCCTCCCTGTAAGTGAAGGCGATCTCGATCGTGAGCTTCTTGCCCATACCAATTAGATTGCTCCATTTACGTAGTTGCTTCTCCACTGGGGTCCAAGTCAATCTTAGTAGAACTACAAAACTTTTCCAGGTTTGCTTGCGACCGTTCGTTCACTTTGACTGTAATGGCCGTGCCTTCCGATCTAACTCGCTGGTGACGCTTCTTTTTTGTTTGCAGCATGTTTTCAACGTTTGTTTGTAAACTCTTTTCCCAGTAATCACTAAGAGCTTTAACCAGGTCTTCCTCAGTTACTTTGCCTACTGTACTTTCTCAATCCCTCTACCGAGAAGCACTATTCCTAAAATAGTCGGTCCACCCCTGATCCCCTTTCTTGGCAGTATTCCATCACAGATGTAAATAACAGGGTATAAAATGCTTCTGTATTAAGCCTGTATAGAATCCAGAGTCTCGAGAACGTTCATCCTGCAAACAATACAAATAATGGGGATCTGTCCAACTATCTGGCCAGTTCAGATGTCAACCATTCAAGTCGAAAGTGTTTATATGGGTAAGATGTATGTTATTGTATACAAATACATAGTGGGTTAATTTTATTGCTTTTTCCGAAATGTTGAATGACAAACTATTCAACAACTAGTATTCACTGCTCATGCTCTGTTCAGTCAGTAGATGGAAAGATTTTGAGTGCAACACTGGGGGATGCCAGGTGATTGGAAACGCACGTGACTTGGTGATATTGTGGTTCCTGGGGCCTTTGGTGGCCATCTCATAATTGCGGACCTCAAAAATTGGCGGGCCAGAACGATTCATCATGTAGTGGTTTACCCACAGTGCACATTTTGCCTGTCACTGCTTAAACTGTGTTGTTTACAGATGGGCAGCAGCATATTCAAATTATAAATCTTAAGGGGCATTTTAGCTAGACGGAACTGCCTGGTTATCGCGTGTTGTGTGTGATTGAGGTGTTCTGGCTCGGATCGGCTCGATCCGTGCCTGGGTATTGATGGGGTCGCCACTGGACCAGCAGAATGCTCAATGTGGGTTTCCCGCTAATTCTGGAACAGTGATTTATGGTAGCGCCGCCAAGTCACCTGATAGTGAACTATATTCAAAGCTCAGATTAACCAGCTAGCCACAACCATACAATCCTGGGAAGGTGGGGTTTCACACCTTGGGCGTATGTGGAGTGGGGGCTGAGGAATTGCGTGATTGACGTCATAATACGTTCAATGTGCAGAGGACCCGAAATGCATCATACCTATGATGTAGGAGCGGGAGGGTATCATATCAGCGAACCAAACTGTATCTTTTCGATAGGGCGAACTGCGTTGTGGTTGATATTATTGGGATATAAAATCTTGTTGTGTGACGAGTGGGAACTAACCCCGGACCGATGGCGGATCCACCCGCGGGAGGGCCCGAAACCCCACACACAAACACCCAGGAAACCACCAATTTCTCGGTCGAGGATTTCCAGCCTAGGGTGACCAACATCCCAACGCGAGCCACGAGAAAGAGAGGACGAATTAACGAGAGCTATGCTCCTGAAGAAGGCACCGGCCGGATCACCACCAAGGAGGTGTGGAAGCTTATCGACGAACTGAAGGACATCATTCGCCACCAAACAGCGACCATCGCAGCTACCCAGAGCGAGCTCCAGGAGATCAAACACAACCAGAACTTCCTTCAGGAACAGAACGAAAAGCTTCACGAGGAAGTGAAAGCGCTACGAGAGCAGGTTGAAAGCGCTCCAGCGGCGCTACCGACGAAGACCTGGGCGGCAGTTGCAGCCCACAGTGACAATGCCACCCCCTTGCTGAACCACCGACGACCCGAGAGAGAGGATCACTGCATCCGAATTAGCACCCAGAGGACTTTTGTCGATCCAAGGGACAATGAAATGAGCGACGGAAACGTCTTCGGACGATATCTCCCTACCGATGTCGCCAACAACCACATCCGCTCGGCATTGCAGAACGACGCTGTAACCCAAGACGCCCAATTGGCGGGCATTGGCACCACCAAGACTGGCTATCTTATCCGGTTCAAAGACAAGGAGTCGGCCGAGGCGGCCCGCAACAACACCGAGTGGCTAAACAAACTGGGCAACAATATGAAACTGGTCAAGCCACGGTTCGGAGTGGTCGTCCACCGTACCCCCACCGAGGAGTTTGACCTGGAGACAGGTGCCCCACAGGCAGCGGAAAAGATCGTCAGGGAGAATAGCCTGGCAGAACAAAGTTTCCACATCGAGGAATTAGCATGGATGAAAGCGAGGGATAAGACCCTCGGGAAGTTCGCGTCGCTGGGGATCTGGTTCGACTCAGCAGAGGGGGCAGAACACCTACTTCGTAACGGCTTCTTAGTGAACGGACACTATATCTCCCACGTGGAACAACGTGAAATCAAGAAAAAGAGATGTTTCCGGTGTCAATGGTTCGGACACCTGGCATGGACGTGCAAGGAAACGCCGCGATGCGGACACTGTGCAGGGCAGCACGAGCGGGAAAGATGCCCACCGGGAGTAAGAGCCCGGTGCCTCGACTGCAGCGGCGAGCACCCTACCGGTAATTAACAATGCCCTAGCGCAGCAACCCCCACTCCCGCCCAATGCTAGAGAGAAACCTTCATATACTACAGTTGAACATGATAAAATCGGCACCGAGAATGGAAGCACTAATCAACGACCATCAGAGCCAAGAGCTAGACATCCTCCTAATCCAGGAGCCGTCCATCACCACCTACCGCACCCACGTCAATCACAGTGCTTGGCGACTATATCGACCTATCACACAGACCGATGCTGTTCGACTTCGCAGTCTGATTTACATTAACAGACGAATTTCCACCTCCTCACACCGTCAACTACCATGTAACAACCCAGATATTACAGCCATCAAGATCTGGACAGCTAACTCCCAAATACTTCTCTTTTCTATATATATACCGCCAGCACCAATTTTCACCGGCAATGATGGCTCGGGATTACCAGCTCTCGCTGCGATTCAAGACTCCATCATAGCGGCCACACAAAATGAACAGCGTCCTACCACTACCATCATTTCCGGCGACTTCAACCGACGCCACCCCATGTGGGGCGGCAACCACATCGCACCCAGGTTTATCGAAGATGCTAGCGACCTGATCGACTTCTTTCAGACTCACAGCCTCCACAGCTGCCTACCTCGAGGGACGGCGACTTACTGGGCCCTGAACAACCCAGGGCAAAACTCAACCATTGATCAGACAGTCACAGATAACCCGGAGCTGCTGGTCAAATGCCACCTGTATCACGAGAACTACGGATCTGACCACCACGCCACCTATTCAGAATGGAACCTCCAACCCCAAAGCACACCAGGGGCAAAGATGAGAAAGGCATATGAACGCGCGGACTGGACCAGGATTGGCGAGGAGATCGTCCAACAGATGAGCCCTTGGAAAGATATTAGGACCCGACCGACTCTCGATCGAGTCGTTCAGCAACTCACATCTGCGACAGCGCAGGCGGTGGACCGCTTCACGCCCAACACCCGTCTAACACCGTACTCCAAGCGATGGTTCACACCGGAACTCAAAGCCCAACAGGTCGAAGTGAACCGACTCCGCAGGAGCTGGCAAACGCGCTGCGCGGAGCTCGGACGAGACCACGCCAACAGTGTAGCCGCCTTCCGGACTGCAACAGAAGCGGCGAGCGTGGACCCGGACCCTTGAGAAGACCAAAGCTTCGCACTGGCAACAGTTCCTTGACGAGGCAGGGGAAGGGAAGCTCTGGAAAGCGGCAACCTACATGAAACCCCGAGAAGCATGGGGCTGCATCCCAACACTACGAGTCGGCTCTGAGGAGCTCGCTCAGAACGAGGACAAAGCGAAGGCCTTCCTTGACGCATTCTTCCCCGCGATGAACACACCTGACCCTAGCCCAGCACCCTTACCACAGTCAGAACTCCCGTGGCACCCGATCACCGAAGTCGAGATCGAGCGATCGCTGAAGGCGGCGAAAGGAATCACCGCGCCAGGGGAGGACAACCTACCGATGCTGGTCTGGAAGAAACTTTGGGCACACCTCAAAACCATCATCACCAGCGTCTTCAAAGCGTGTGTCGAATTAGCACATCACCCAAAGCAATGGCGTAGCGCGAAGATCATTATGCTACGGAAGCCAGGCAAGCCAGATTATTCCGTTCCTGGCGCCTACCGACCAATCTCGTTATTGAACACCCTGGGAAAGCTTCTTGAAGCAGTGATAGCCCGCCGGCTATCTCACCTCGCGGAGAAACATGGCCTCCTACCGAACAGCCAGTTCGGCGGCCGACCGGACAGAACCACTGAACACGCCCTCTTGGTGCTGTCCAGTGCGATCGACAAGGCGTGGTACAAACACAAGGTGGTGACGCTCATCTCATTCGACCTCAAAGGTGCCTTTAACGGGGTAAACCAGATCAGCCTAGACGCCTCTCTGCAGGGGAGAGGGATTCCAATAACGGCAAGGAAGTGGATTACAAGCTTCATGAGTGATCGACAAGCCAATATTGGATTTGACGACTTCCGTACCGACACAGAACCACTGGTCAACGCAGGCCTAGCACAAGGGTCGCCACTTTCCCCTATTCTGTTTGCATTCTTCAACGCGGACTTGGTGGACCAACCCGTCGACTCGCACGGAGGCGCGTCGGCATTCATTGACGACTACTTCCGATGGCGAGTCGGCAGCTCAACCGAGGAAAACCTAGACAGGATACAGTCTGAGGATGTCCCGCGCATCGAGGAGTGGGCCCGACAGACCGGATCCTGCTTCGCGGCGGAGAAGACCGAGCTGATCCACCTGACCAGAAAGAAAGTAGTGCACCTGGGAGGAAACATCACCTTTGATGGAACGGATGTCAAGCCGTCACCCACAGCCAAACTGCTGGGAGTGATGTTCGACCAGGGACTTCGCTGGAAAGAGCACGTCCAGCAGGCCATCAAACGCGCCACAAAGACGGCCATCGCTCTGAACGGACTACGACACCTGCGGCCCGAGCAAATGCGACAACTCTACCAAGCG